GGACGCCGACCAGGTGATGCTTGACATCAGCACCGACGCAGACGACAAGCACCGCCACGTTTGCACGCAGCAGCCAACGCCAAGGCTCGTTGGCGCGACTCTGAAGAACTGCAGCGAGCAAGATGCACCACGTTTTCCACGCGACGCCTCACTACGAACGACGACGCCCGACCGTCAGTCGCGAGCGACACCGAGACGAACGCAATCACCAAGACGAGGCGTCAAGAGCACAAGCACAGCCCTCGGTCCACCGGCGCATACCATCGCCAAGCAGCCGCCAACGACGCCGATCACCTATCACTGGGGCACCACCTCGCCAACCCATGGCAGGCGTGGTAATCCACCTCCTTTGCCCCCTTTGCTGGCAACAAGCGCGATTCCTGAATTACTTTTTGTCGACGACAATAATACTAGTACTAGAAGTGTTTGGAGTGTTTGCTGCTTGGAATTGCAACAGGCAACAGGTTGCACGGAGTCGGGTCGTCCAGAGATCATGGTTTTCTACATCATTGATATTGTTACCAGTGACTACAAGTTGCGACGGTTAGCGGGATTGAATGGGTGGTACAGTACAAGTAGGGCGTATGAAACAATTCACTGATATTAACAAGAAGGCACAATCGCTCGACAATTTAGCCGTAGCGCGGGAGCTCAGCGCCAATGCCGTTGCCAGTCGGGGTCGGGCGGTGCGTGTGGTGCGGGTGGTGCGGGTGGTGCGGGCGACGCGTCGTGCGGCAGGGAGCAGGCGTCGGCTCCTCGGTCGGTTCTTCAGTCGGGTACTCGGTGGGTTCGTCCGTCGGCTCATCTGAAGGCTCATCGGAAGGCTCGTCCGAAGGTTCGTCAGACGGTTCATCAGACGGCTCATCCGAAGGCTCATCAGACGGTTCATCAGACGGTTCATCTGAAGGCTCGTCAGAGGGCTCATCCGAAGGCTCGTCCGAAGGCTCGTCCGACGGGTAATCAGAGGGCTCGTCGGTGGGCTCGTCAGACGGTTCGTCAGAGGGCTCGTCGGATGGTTCATCCGACGGTTCATCCGTGGGCTCATCAGACGGTTCGTCAGTGGGCTCGTCGGACGGTTCATCCGAAGGCTCGTCGGACGGTTCATCCGAAGGCTCGTCGGACGGTTCATCCGAAGGCTCGTCCGACGGTTCATCCGAAGGCTCATCGGTGGGCTCATCCGACGGAGCATCGGTGGGGTACTCGGTCGGCTTGCTCGTCGGGCCCGCCGTGATCTTGGGGTACGCCGGCTCTTCGGCCACGTTGCACATGCCCTTGCCACCGACACCGCGCTGGAGCTTGATGTAGCCCTTCTCGCCCCAGTTGGCACCCCACGAGTTGCGGATCTTGAAAAAGTCCTTGCCGTTCTCCGAGCCGTACCCGACCGCAATCACGGCGTGGTCCGACTGCGCGCCCGGGCACTGCGACACCACGCCGCCCTTGTAGTACTGCCACACGTCGTTGCCAGCCTCGACGGCAACAGCCACCGGCTGCGTCTTGAGCGCCGTCTCGAGCGGTCCCTCGCCCTTGATGTTGACAGTCGCGCCAATCGCGAGCTTCTGCTTGGTGCACGACGACTTGCACGAGCCGGTTTGGCCGGATTTGCCGGACGTGTACGGGTAGTCCTTGGAGAGACAGATGCCGCCGTTGTCGTGGATCCACGTGATGGCGCGGTCTTCGAGGCCGCCGTCGCAGCCCATGTTGCCGTTCTTGGCGCAGCTCGTGGTCTGCTGGTCCGATAGGTCGAGGAGCGTCCCAGTCGCAATGCAGTGCGCCGACTCGACAGTGCCCGTTGCCGAGAAGGCCCAGCACGACCCGCAGTTGCCCTGGTTCTTGACGGGGTTGACGCACTTGGAGTCCTTGGTCCAGTCCACGTTGCCAGAGGCCGACGCGGCGCCGACGCTGGCCCAGTCGACCTTGTCGGCTCGGAGCGCGCGCTTGCCGCGCTTGAACGACTTCATGACGTAGTGCTTGAACTCGTCCTTGGTGAGGAGCGCGAGCGGCGAGAGGTGGGTGAAGGAGGCGTCCGGGTTCTCCTTGGCGAGCTCGGGCACGCGCTGCTTGGCGGCCTTCATGCGGACGAGGAGCTCGTCGTTGGGCGTGTCGAGGCTGAGACCTTCGGGAACGAAGCCGTTGCGTTGCGCAGAGTCGCCAAAGAGGGTCTGCCACTGCTTCAAGTCGGCCGTGAGCTCCTTGCGCTCGGCGGGCGTGAGCTTGGCGTTGGCGTTGGTGGTCGCAGCCATGATCGTCGCAAAGATGATGGCAGTGCGCATGTCGGTGGAGGTGGTGCTTGTATAAGAGAAGCGAAAAGGAAAAGTGAGATCGGGTGGGCCAGAGTTCGCGGCGGCGGGAAAAGTAGATTGGCTTCGTACGCTTGGCTCCACAGTGAGATTTCGCGTGAAGCGCTTGAAGTTTGCCTGCAGAGTGGTGCATGGTAACATCTGTTTCCAGGACATTTTTATTGAATTATTGAATTTGAAAGGCAGCATGATCCGTGAGACCTGATCTATCTACGATGTGAAGAAACCCACTACTCATTATTCATGGACTTCTTTCGCACAAGTCTCATGCGAAAACGACCGCATTCGGCTTTTGACAATCGTCTCGCACAGTGTTAAAATATACAAAGTCGTATTTCCGTGGAATCATGTCCACCGCCCCCTGTGGCCCCACTTTTGGCGCTATTACCGCCTTTGTAATGTGACGTTGGAAGCCGAGGAACGCTTTTCGGACTAGACGCAATCTGATGCGAGGGTGGGTCGGGCCACGTCGTGTAAATCGATCGGAGCCGCTTGAAACTCAGATCTGGTTTTTCGAACCTCTTCTTCTCGAGTCTATGTGGAGGCAGGCCCTGTTTTCGCGCAACAGCAACGCTAGAAGAGCACTCTAGCCTA